GCATTACTGCACTCTCAGCGTACTGCTGCAGATTAGCTGCAAAAAAACAAAACAACGTTAGCCTCACAGATGGTGCCACTGCCAGCCTATAATTTTCAATTATGATCGGCTAGTTTTACCATCTTTTTCTGGATATCTGCTTGGATTGAAGACCATGTCGAAGCAGTTCAGGAGGCTTAGATCATCTGTCGGGAAACGCCTTTTCAGCGACTCGATGAGGTGTTCGATGTATTGCTGTCGGGAGCTGTCAAAAGCCCGCACATTTTTCTCCGAAGCCTGTGTAATTTTAACACATTTAAACTCGCTTTTTGTTACATCGAAGTCTCTTTTTAAGTTGCGTTCTTCTGGGCCTGCGTTGTCTTTGAGCTGATCCAAAGCGGACACGGAGGCCTTTACCATGGGAACGATGCTTGCCAAGTTTACGTCTTCCTTTTGGAAACACAGATTTAATTTGTTCATCACCGGGAGGATGTCTGAGAGGGCATAGGTAAGTGCAATAAATCCATACGTCTGTATTTGATTGAGAATGCCACGGGCTTGAGGGTTGCCTTTTGCAGCCTCTTCGTGTAGCTCCATCACGAGCGCTGGCCAGTTGTGTCTGATGGCCTCAACCGCTTTCCCCAGTGACAGCCATCTCACTGCGCACTGCTGTTTCAGGCTGGTCATATCTCCTTCATCGAGAGTGCCAGAGAGTTGTCGCAAACGATTTGTTCTGGTTGCAGAGTGTTTATAAAAGGTATACACGCTGTTGATGGTGCGCTTATAGTCCGCAATCGTCTTCACCGCTTTGGACGCGTCGGTGGCAGCCAGTGCCACTCGGTGTGCAATGCAGTGGACTTGGAGACTGTACGGGCTTTCTTTTTTCAAAAGTGCCCCGACTCCAGAGTGCGTTCCCATCATTACGCTGGCTCCATCCGACCCCAGGCTTGTGACGCGGCCCATAACTATGCCTCTTTCTTTTAGTGCAGCCTTCACTTCATCAAAAATACACAGAGCTGTTCCTGAATGGATATTGTAATTCCCTAGGAAGCACGTTTCCACTTTCCCATTGTTTTCGAGTTTTATATACATTATGAGTTTTTTATTGACTGTGATGTTTACCGTTTCATCTATTATCAAGCCAACAAAGTCACTTTTCTTTATTTTTTCGTTTACTTCATTAATTATAGTTTTTTCTAAACCCTTTTCCGTGTCATTTACAGACTCGTTGTGTTTGTATAAAATGTTACTTTTAAAGTCAGGAGCATCAACACTTTGCATCAATTCCAACAGTCCACAAAACTGATGACAGGGTATATCGTTTTTAGCCATGTAAAAAACAACCTTCATCTGTGAAGTCAAGGCGTTTCTGCTTGATTGGAGCGCTTTATCACAATGCTGTTTCATAGCGCTTTGTTGTTGCGATAAATGCACAGCGGACAGGTGATCTGAGCTTTGGCTGTGCTCTAACAGTGTAGAGGCTTTATAGTTAATTGATCCTTTGGTGAAACCGTTATATTTACCGGACTTCTCACAAATGATGCAAAACATTTTGTCAGTCCCATCCATTAGCTCTCGCCTTAACCGTTTGAACCGATCCTGCCACTCGGGCTTGTAGCATCTTCAAGCTTTTTTTGCTCCTCCGACATCATTTTCATTTGCACCAGATGCATGGCGCTTTTCGGGAGGTCCTGATTCTTCCGTTGGTGTATAGTCACTTGTAGATTGAGTAGTAGATGTTTTCTTGAAGAAATGAGCAAGAGAGGATTGCTTCGACATTGTTAGCGTAGGTTTCAAATCTCGCGCCGCGAACCAGAGGGCGTTAACGACGTCATGGGGTGCGCTAATCCTAGGCATTCACGACCACCTTTTAAACCACAAGCCTTTAAAACGACCACATTTATTGATTTGTTGTCTGATTTAAGTGATTTATTTATTGCATAGTGATAATAATGATAATTATAATTTTTATTGTAACTTAATTTTTTTTTTTTCAATCAGCCAACGTGGCCGACGGCACTTTTTTTTCTCGGCCAAAGACATATTTTACCGGCCAAAAGCCGGCTACAGCCGGCTAACGGGAACCCTGGTAAGTAAGTAAGTAGGTAAAGTTTATTTGTATAGCGCCTTTATAAAAACCAGGATCACAAAGGGCTTCACAGATTAAAATACATAAAATACACATATAAATCATATTAAAAACAAAACACAGAAAAACGCAGTTTACACAGTTCACAGAGGCCTATGAACAGTGAGGCGAGAAAGCCTGTGACAAATGCGTCTTAAGTTGGGACCTCTTAAGCAAACGAGAAAAAAAAATACATCCGCTGGCAATAGCAGATTTTTTTTTTATTTTGAACTTCATAAGCCACAAGCTATATATCATTTTAAAGCTTATTTTCTCAGCTATATTTATATGTAAGTGTAAACTATATCAGACTTTGCATTAAAAAGATATAACGCATAATATGGGCACAAAATAAATACATAGTGCATAAGTTTCTTACCTTTCGTCTTCTGCTGCTCCAACAAATTACTTTCCCCATCCTTGCTTAGTCTCTTTCTCTCCGTAAGTCTTCATTGAAAAAGAATATCCACTTGTATTTCCCAAAGTATAATCCATTCTTCAGAAATAATCCAAAAATGTGCATTTTCCTGTTGCAAAAAAATAAATAAAAAAACGCTCCGAAAAAATGTTCAGGCTTCTCTTTCACATTTCACCAAGTTTGAGCTTTGTTTAGCCCCACAAACATCATATCCACGAGTTCCTTGAGTCTTTAGCTTCAAAAAGAGAGGTTCCATGAAAAGATTGGAGCAGGTTTCAGTCCACAGGACCCTTGTGAAAAAGATGACCCGCATCCACTTGCACAGGGTCCGTTTTGCCTTGTCGTTGATTACAGGCCAGCGCAATGTGCTAGCTCTGAATGATTGACGTGTCTAAGTAGCCAATAAAAAGAGCATTCTTTTGATGGGTGGGACTTGTAGGAACCCTTTTCATTTTCACAGTAAAAGGAAAAGACGCCGTTATTACTGCTGCGCATATTTAATATGCATTTATTCTACAAAAAAAATAATTTTGAAAAGATGTAAAAGAAAATCACTCAGATTTGTAACTTATTAGTACCAAAAAATATGCTTTTTATGATGGTGAAATGTTAATAAAGCAGTTTGGTATGGAAGACTATTGGCACCTTAATTCAATTGTCTATTCATTTGTCAAATGGCTATGCATTATGTTATTTTAGTATTTATTTTGTATTTGTCAAAGTGTAATGTTAATGTATGGGTTAGGGTTATTTTGACATTTAATGTTCTATTCCAAAAGTTCTAATGGCAATTCAATATGTAAATTGTCGATACAATGTCTTTATATATTGCAAATTACAAGATTTTGAAATGAATAGCATATTGCCATGGTAATTTGGCCTCTTTATTCATTGTTCTATTCATTCTTAACATGGCACTTAGTTTAGTTGTATTTGGCAAAATTGCATGTTATATCCTATTTTGACTTGTATTCCACATTTGAGTATGTTAAGTTTCATTTAATGTGTTGTGAAACAGCACCTCCCTCTGGATTGTACTGTATTGCATATTGCATATTGCATTGCCACATGGTTTGAGTGCAACTTAATTCAATATGCTATGCAGTTCTTGACCCCTGGGAAGGCGGGCCCTGGTCCGCTCTCGGCCAATCAGAGACGAGTCTCTGTTAAAAACGGGCTGCTCTTGGTCGGTCACCAGTCAATGTGAAGCCGATTCAGACTAGAGTTTCGTTCGGGCCTGAAAAATGAAGCCCGACCCGGCACGAGCCCGCTAATGTTAAGCCCGAGCCCGTATAAGCCCGACCAATGAACGCTGTATAACAGGCCCGAGCCCGACAGAACCCGACACATCTGATTTCCCGTTGTACGCACTCACCTTCCAATTGCAGGTTTAGTCTCCACTTTTGAATTTGTTTTGTCTCCACTTGATCCATTTCTACTATTGTTCCTGTTCGCTGTTGACCACAGCATGCAGCAGGAGACACGGGGATAATGCGTTCACGGCTCGCTGCTGCTGTAGGACACGCTGGTTACGGTGTCATTAATATATTAACTTTTTTTAATAACTTGTTGTCAATCAACGGACATTGTTATTAATATATATATATATATATGCATATCATTATGTATAAAAATCATTTAATAATAATTATAATAATAATAAAAAACGAACCCGACAGCTGAGCGCCAAATGAGGCTCAAGTTCACAACTTGTGTTTTTCTCCGCACGGTGCTGACTCGGAGTGCGTCTGAAGATCCAAGTGTGCCCACTGTAGTTAGAAGATATGCCATGTCACTGAGCCCGAGCAGGCCCGACCTGAGTTCGGGCCTGCTCGGGCTCGGGCTGAAAAGCGAAACTCTAATTCAGACAGTGACATGGCATATCTTCTAACTACAGTGGGCACACTTGGATCTTCAGACGCACTCCGAGTCAGTACCGTGCGGAGAAAAACACAAGTTGTGAACTGTTATGCTAAGGTGGCCCTCAGTTGTAGCCATCAGAATCAGAATCATTTTTATTGCCACGTAAGTAACAGAAGGTCACAGACTAGGAAATTGCTTTGGCTCAGTGCAACAGTCAAAAAGAGATAATAAAAATAAGAATAAAAAAAACACTTCTAAAGAATAAATTTAAATTTAAAATAGAGTTACAGTTACTATTTACAATATACAAGTGCACATGGTGCACACAATGTAAGGTGACAGCAGTACAGTGAAGTAAAGTGACGTATGATGGGCAGTAAAGTGACTTTATAAAGGGCGGGGGGACAGGTTAAGAAGTGTTCAAGAGTCCAACAGCAGAGGGGAAGAAACTGTTCTTGTGGCGGGAGGTTGGAATAGTCCATGTGCAGGGTGAGAGGGGTCGGCTGTGATACGACCAGCCCGGCCTCGAGCTCGGGCAACGTACAGGTCCTGCAGCGATGGAAGGCTGCGGCCGATCACTTCCTCTGCAGAGCGCACAATGCGCTGTAGTCTCTATTTGTCCCTGACTGTGGCTCCAGCGAACCACACGGTGACGGAGGAGGTGAGGATGGACTCGATGATGGCCGTGTAGAACTGCACCAACATCTGTGCAGGCAGCTTGGCTTTCCTGAGCTGCCGCAGGAAGTACATCCTCTGCTGGGCCTTCTTGATGAGGGAGCTGATGGTCGGCTCCCACTTGAGGTCCTGGGTGATGGTGGTGCCCAGGAAACGGAAGGACTCCACAGAGGTGATGGGGGAGTCCATCACGGAGGGTGGGGGTGGGGGGACAGTGCTCTTCCTGAAGTCCACAATCATCTCCACTGTCTTCTGGGCGTTCAGCTCCAGGTTGTTACCACTGCACCAGGACACCAGCCGGTCCACCTCCCTCCTGTAGGCGGACTCATCGTTGTTGGAGATGAGTCCAATGAGGGTGGTGTCGTCCGCGAACTTGATCAGCTTCACGGAGTCGTGGCTGGAGGTGCAGTGGTTGGTGTACAGGGAGAAGAGCAGGGGAGAAACAACACAGCCCTGTGGGGCTCCTGTATTTATAATCCGAGAGTCCGAGACATTCTTCCCCAGACGCACTCGCTGCTTCCTGTCCGTCAGGAAGTCAGTGATCCACCTGCAGGTGGAATCGGGCACGTTGAGCTGGGAGAGCTTGTCCTGGAGCAGGGATGGCAGGATTGTGTTGAAGGCAGAGCTGAAGTCCACGAACAGGACCCTGGCGTAGGTCCCCGGGGAGTCCAGGTGCTGTAGGATGTGGTGGAGGGCCAGGTTAATGGCGTCGTCTACAGATCTGTTGGCTCTGTAGGCGAACTGCAGGGGGTCCAGGAGGGGGGAGGTGAGGGACTTGAGATGGGAGAGAACCAGGCGTTCAAATGACTTCATGACGACAGACGTAAGTGCTACAGGTCTGTAGTCGTTGATTCCTGTGATCCTGGGCTTCTTCGGGACATAGTGTACACTTTATGGTTTTAGTGCGATTTATTCTTAATTTCCTATATGCTCATTCCTCGCTTAAAATAGCAGAGTTACTGCCCTTCAACTTGTTAGCAACAGTTCACAACTTGTGTTTTTCTCCGCACGGTGCTGACTCGGAGTGCGTCTGAAGATCCAAGTGTGCCCACTGTAGTTAGAAGATATGCCATGTCACTGTCTGAATCGGCTTCACATTAACTGTGACTGGTGACCGACCAAGAGCAGCCCGTTTTTAACAGAGACTCGTCTCTGATTGGCCGAGAGCGGACCAGGGCACGCCTTCCCAGGGGTCAAGAACTGCATAGCATATTGAATTAAGTTGCACTCAAACCATGTGGCAATGCAATATGCAATATGCAATGCAATACAGAGGGAGGTGCTGTTTCACAACACATTAAATGAAACTTAACATACTCAAATGTGGAATACAAGTCAAAATAACATTTCATAGACATTTTACACATTGAATTGCCATAAGAACTTTTGGAATAGAACATTACAAGTTAAAATAGGATATAACATGCAATTTTGCCAAATACAACTCTAAACTAAATGCCATGTTAAGAATGAATAGAACAATGAATAAAGAGGCCAAATTTCCATGGCAATATGCTATTTATTTCAAAATCTTGTAATTTGCAATATATAAAGACATTGTATCGACACTTTACATACTGAATTTCCATTAGAACTTTTGGAATAGAACATTAAATGTCAAAATTGGATATAACATTACACTTTGACAAATACAAATACAAAATAAATACTAAAATAACATAATGCATAGCCATTTGACAAATGAATAGACAATTGAAATAAGGTGCCAATAGTCTTCCATAGTTTGGCACAATTTGGCACAAAATTTGCAAAATTGGTTCCGAATGGCACTACTTGATAAAAAAAGAGAAACTGCATAAAAACTATAAAACTTAGAAGTCTGAAACTTTACACAGTTGTTGTCAACAACACAATGAACAAACTGCCGTTGAAAATTTTCTTCTTCCAATGAAGTAGGCTTTTTAGGGCATTTATACATTGAATTTTTTTAGGTGAGACTAAAAAAAAAACAGGTTTTTTTCCCAAACTTCAAAGGATGCAGAGTGAAATAGGAATGACATAAATTATTTCATTGTATATTTACATAAACTAAAAGGGCCTAGCTTTAAAATTATGCATCACACAAGCATGTGAGATGTATGATGTGTTTTTAAATAAGCAAAGACATTTGGGTATGCCGAACTTTTGTGCACGAGCCAAAACAGATGTAGGAGCTTAAAGAGGCTATATGGAAGTTTCACCACTTATAAAACTATGAAGAATTAAAATTTCTTACACATACATTCTCCAGCAATGCCTTGGTGTGTAGAATGAGCCCGGCATTTTCACCGCAGTTGCCTAAAACATGTCTTTGCTTGGAATTTGAGTGTTCGGGTCGAACACCCAGGAGCAGCGTAATGCGTAATGACGTCATGCGCGTTCACGCTAAGCTGTAGCAGCGCTGAGATTTTATGTTGTCAACCAACATTCTGCTGTCGGGGAATAACTTCTCCAATATTACCCTCTTATTCAAATTCATGAATATCCGCATGGTGGCCTCCTCAACATCTTATGCAGTCCAGGGAACCTACTGTCTAAAAACAATAAAGCAGTTTTGGGAGGAGAAAAGGACTGCTATTATCAACAGATTAGAGTCCAAAGACAACGTTGTTGCCCTTGGTAAGTAACATATTAATTTCTAAGCCCGTGTATATGTATGCTTACATGCCTTTTGTGTTTATGTTTTAGCTGACGGGAAGATCTACTTTCCAGGTAATGCACAAAGCTCTGCGGCATTTTATTAATATCGGTTTGTTGTCATTGAAATGTTTGTTTTTCACTATTATTTCCCCCACAATCTATATATTTTTTCAAAAAGGTCACTCTGCTATGTGCTGTACGTACGCAACGATGGAGCTAGACACTATGGACATCGTAAGTGTCTGATTGTATTTAACACAGGTCTGGTAAGACTTTTTAAAATATAATTGTGGTGTCTTCAATCAGGCTGGAATCGTTTCTGGTCAAAAGGCTTTACTTGTATGGATTGAGGACATCATTAACCATTTCTGGTATGCTTGTCAGCACACAAGCACCAGAGAGGAGTTTATGGTCTGTATGAACATTAGATATTTATAACGTCACTAGATAATGTAATTTTTAACTTTGTATGGTGACATGGTATAAATTTTGATATACAACGTATTGTATACATTTAGGGTGTGCGGAGAGGTGTACTTCACCGTATGCGCCTCTGGAGGATAAACAGGACAAAGAGCCCATTCCATGTGGTTCTTAACCGGAGGTGGCTGAAGGATATTGAGAAGTTGCTCACCTTTCGATAAGTCATGTGGGTGACATCTTGTGGGAATGTACAGGAACTGCCTTTTTAATACTACAAAGTATATTATATTACACAGAGATCGAATTGATTTGTATGTTTGTCGTTACAATAATTTTTGTTCTGTAGGACAACTTTGAAGCTCGAATCTTTCCAAAACCACATCCTGATGTACGCAGGAAAGCGTTTTGGATTTACTTATGGCGCTTATGAAGCTCGTACACTCCCTGCTGCATTAGACTACAACCTCCATAACCATCCACTAGTGCATGAGAGCAGCAAAGGCCAAGTATTGTAACTCATACTTTATTATCAAGATTCAGCATAAAAGCAATAAAGAAATATATTATTTCTACTGATGTCTACACTAATGATTTGTAGACATGAACGAGTCTACAGAAAAAAGTCTCAGCGTTACACTGTGAAGGAGACTAAAGACTACAGCTCTATCCCAGACCAGCGCCTCAGCTCTGCTTGGAGGACTCTCAAAAAATGACCCCAGGGCCATGGGTCCTCTGTCTTCATCATCCCTCCTCCTGCAGCTGAACTGGAGCGGACACAACAGAGGACAGGTAGTGATGATAATCAAGTGGAAAAACTCTATGATATAAAATATGTTTCTTTCTTTTTCTAGGACTTTTTTATCTGGTCCCTGAACAGAGGCTGACAGCAATCAAAGATGGACACAGCACATTTATTTTATGTCAAATATTTAAAAAAATTCCCAAAAATTGAAATAAAAGAAAGACTTATTTCTAAAGTGGTGATGAGTTGCATTTTAGTTTTAATTCCCTACTGTGGAACGAATAAAGGGGCGTCTTTATAACCCACATGTCTCCTCTGGCTGCTCCTCTTCCTCCTCTGGCTGCTCCTCTTCCTCTTCTTGCTGCTCATCTGCCTCCTCCTCTCCCCCATCCAAAGTCACTGCTCTCAGAAACCACAGATTCAACTGGACTGGAGTCCTGGAAGGAAAAGCAAAAAGATTTAGATGTCACTGTTCTGGAATGTATGTTTTGTACAAACTTCATCAAAAAATATTTTGAATTTATCAGAACAGTTGATATAGTTTTATACCTACAGACAACTTGTGTAGTATTAGCAGACTAGTGTCAGTAATAACACTAATAAAAACAAAACAGTAACAGTGGTAATTATGCTGTATTATCTATGGGAATAATAATGTTGCTAATGTTACCTTGTGTTGGCTGCTAAATAAGAGTGACTTCACTGATTTATGTTTATGAGTAGTAAATATACTACAAAAAGTCTCATGCTACGCTACCCTTATAAGTACAAATGAAAAGATGATTTTGGCTTGTCAAGGAAGCTATCTGTGGAATTGTATTATTACAGTTAGGCTTACGTTTATATATACAAAATAGACACTTTTGTTGTTCCACTTTCAAATGTTGTTCATAATGTGGCTTCAAGCTTTTGATAATTCACTTTGCTTTACATTTATGTATCACATCTTGGAAAATATACACATTGATTTGGTCTAAATATCATACAAAACAGTGACATGTCTTACTTACGGAGCCCCTGAAGGGGTATAGTAGAGTAAAAAAAAAAAAAAGTTGAGTAAAAAAAAATAGGTTTCTCGAGATACCTATTGTTTCGGAGAGGTATCTCGAGATACCTATTGTTTTGGAGAGGTATCTCAAGATATTTGAAGACGATTTTTATTAATGCTTCACTGCCTTTTTCCCCGAGCCACGGCCGTGAATGCTCATGGTAGCTGGTAAACAACCACTCACCTTGGACCCGGAGCGAACGCGTCACATGTGTCTATGGTACGTACCTGCATTATGCTTTACTGTTGAGTTATGAACACGAGTGTTATGATACAATACAGACGTTAGATCTGCCACAGACGTTTGTTTGAAACCTTATCTGCCGTGATTAAACTCAGTTGTCCCGAAAAGCTAAGCTAATGCTAACGCCAGACTATTCAGTCCATTGAGATCGTGTTTGATCAAGAAAAATCATATTCTTACTATCTTTAAGGAGAAACAACCCCATGTAATATTCTGTGATAGAATATGCTGTGAGACATTACTGCATCATTCAACATTGTATCACGTTCTGTTTGATCCTTACGTCACATGTATCTTACG